TATAAAACATTGGGTATATCATGTATCTAATCTTTCTTCATTACGAAAAATATAGAAATATAAAAAAGATGATATCACAATAAATAAGGGCTAACTAAAATAACAAATTTTTTTGTAAAAATTATGAGTGTTTTCAAAAACGATTAAAGAAACAAAAACTACGCTCTTACGACATTCAAAAATCTGATTGTAATTCAATGTTTTGACGCTCGTTTTATCAAGTGGAATATAACTAAAACAGGAAGTAGTCTGTCACTGTCAGCGGACACACTCGAACCAGGCGTAGAGTCACACTCGCGACACAGAAGACCCTCTGTAATGACCAAACGTGGACACCTTCATATACGTGGTCGCTGATGGGTGACACCGACGTCTGATGGGAGGGGGGCTTTGTTCTGGGGGAAAATAATACTACTATTACAAAATTGCAAGTTTTGTGGTTAATTGTTAGATATATAAGTAGCATATACCAAGTTAAGCAGGTAGGCGTATTATGACCGTACAATACCTTAGTGGTCAGGTTAATCAAGTTGCTTGCGGGGTCCCCCCACAGTGTTGACTTCTCCGTAGTTTAGGACATACACGGGCAACGTCGCGCCTTGGACAACCGTAACGGAGTGGCAGGCCGGCTGGCTAACGACCCACTGAGCTTCGAAGCTTTACATAGTCTGTCCCCCCCCCCGCTTCCGAAATCGTCAAGTTATCCCATCCCACTTGGTGCCAATTTATAATACACAAGTTGTTCTGTCTTCACTTAGGCGAATTATTTTAAAGAGGTTTTAAATAATTTGTTGGTAAAGCGTTTAGTGGGCAAGCTGGAGTGGATGAGTAGATCCTTTTCGCAGACGACCACGACGGATCGTGCTAGATTCTGTGGTTGTAGTGATGAAAATGAGTTCCAAAACAATCCGAGGGCCGCCTCCAGACACGGCGCCTCCCAAAAAGGCACTTACTCTAGGGTCCAACCCCCAAGGCCCTCCTTCTCAAGCGGCCAACCCAAAGAGCCCTTCTCAGGAGCCAACGTACGGGGACGCATCAGCGTCTGAGGCTAGGCGCGCACCGTCTGGCTGCAAGGAAAGCCTCCATAGTGTGGGCCAAACCACTGTGACTACTCGGACACCTGAGGTCCGTCCATGAGCGTGAGCAGATTGTGGATATCGATCCGCCGAGAGTCCCAGGAAAGCGATTCCTGTGGGCGACCAAAAGTCGGGGGATCTACGGACACTGCCAAGACACCGCCCAAAAACGGGCCATTGTAGAGGGCGGATCTAGAGGTGAGTATTTAAAATCCAGGCAACAAAGTGGTTGCCACCTAAGGAGGCGAAGGTTTCTTCGCAGCCGGACGGACCAGAGCGAAGGACAGGCTTACGGCCCGCAGGCCTACCGTCCGCTATGGGGGGAACGACTAACTCCGTAGAGGAGGTGGAGCGCATTGGCATCTCCTGATGGAGAACCAGATGGGGAGTGTGAAATGGAAGGGTGAAAAGGTGGAAAAGAAAAAAGAAAATTTATTGAGGCTGTCGGCCACCCAAGTCCTCAAACCTAAAGGGGGAACCTTCCAAAGGGCCCCTCTCCCATATGTCGGGCGGCAAGGCCAGGTCCATTAATGGCATCTATTAGGGCGAACACTATATCGCAGTCGCAATAAGTTCCAATCGAGACGCCGGTTACTGCAGCGCGAAAGGTGACCGCCTTGCACAGAAGGAGATGTCCTGCGCTGCACGCTCGCAATTGCCGAGCTTATGGCCCGGTCTGAAGGGACCTCGGAAGGTCCGGCGTATTTGCAGCGGCGGCCCCCTCCAATCTTGAGGACATCATCCGTAAACGGTGGTCATGTGAGGAGTAGGGCCTTTAAAAAGCCTGCTTCGCAGGCATTGATGGACCGGCTGCTGCCGGAAAAGAGCATCTCCGCCCTCCACTCTCGACAACAGGACCTCTACTGCACCGCCGCCCCCAAAAGAAAGAAGCAGCGCCAGCGCAGAAGGAGCAGCCCAAGGCCACGAAGGCAGGCAAAGGGAAAAGGGGAGAAGGGAATAAGAAGTCCCCTTCGGCCCCTACCTCACAGGCGGGAGCCCAGCGCTGCTCCAGCGCCCGCCCAAGCTCCTGTAAGGGAAGATGCCCTGCTGCCTTCTACCACACCCTCCAACGAGCCATGGAAGAAGGTGGTTGGCAAGAAGCACGAAAGGGGAAAAAAAGCCAGGTACCTGAGTCCCTGGCAGCCAATATAAAGCTCCGGCGGGAAAGAGGAGGAAGCTCGTTCCTCCAAAAACCGCGCCGTAGTGGTGACCCCTCACAGCGGAAGCTGTTTACACGTGGGGAGACGTACGAGTCCGTGCTGCGACGGGCTCGTGCCAAATATCGACCCCGTGCAACCGGGTGAGGGTAGGAGGGTCAGGTCCCGTGCCGACGGACTCAAACCGGTTGGCCCCCGAATTTTCGAGTTTTCGGGGGGCTCAGCGGCAGCGCCCACAGACCGACACTTTTTTTTTTGCCAACCAACTGAAGGAGGCAATCGCAGACACGGCCAAAGTCGCTAATGGCCAGTGAAGTGCGTAACTCTAGAGGTGAAACCCGATCTCGACGATTCGGTCACCCAAGAGGAGGTCGTGGGGCAGCAGTCGCGGCGTTGGGGAGCTGCGACATCGCAGCCAATTACAAGGCCGCGCCATAAGACCTGGCCGTGGGGGCATGGGCAGCTTTGCGAGCTGGAGTGCCACAGGTCGTGGCTGCACAGGCCATCCTGGCGAAGTGACGCCTCCCCGGTTGGTTTCAGCTCTGCGGTTGGCGGGGCTCTTGAGGACGAGCCGATGCGATGACGTACAAGTGCTTCTGCATCGTGGTCATCACCCGGGCCCTCTGTCCATGGCGAACATGTGTCGATCGCACAGGACCTGTGCTTGCGCTGCGGTCAAGGTGGGTCACAAGTCCACCGCCTGTGCGGCACACCAAAGGACCACACTGCGCACCGTGTCGCGCTGACAGTGGGCGTCCAGCCCGCACAACATTATGTGCCGGGTGTAGGAAATGCCGTCCCCTCCCCTAAAGAAAGGGAAAAAGCGCAGTTGACTACTACAACGGCCTGCTGCTGACTGCCGCCGTCACTCTGCGATCCCAGTCCCAGTGCCGGCCATACGAAGGGTGATGCAAATGAACTACCGACTAATGGCCGGGCTTCTACGCATTCTCCAGGCGAACATCAACCACTGCAAAGGCGGCCCACGTGACCTGCTGGTCCAAACTAAAACCTTTGCAGAGTGGTTGGTGGACGTGGCGGTTGTTGCCGAGCCGCTACTCAGTCCCTGGCAGATGGCTGGGAGACGAGATGGGCTCGGTGGGCGGGTTGGCTTTGCGCGGTCTTTCACAGAATCCCCCCCCATCTCGCATCATAGCTCTTAGAGAAGGGGCCGGGATACGTGGCTGGCACGCCGCATGGGGAGATATAGCCCTAATAGGGGTTTATTTCTCCCCCAACCGCCCTCTCACGGACTTCGCGAATTTTTCCTCGGAGTCCTCGCTCCATGTTTGGCCAACAGAGCAAAGCGCAACGCCGTGGGTCTATGGTGGTGGGCGACTTCACGCCAAGTCGGGGGCGTGGGGTAGCCCACGCACGGACCGCACTCGGGACGACCTCGAGGTGGAGTCGTGGTCAGGTGGCGTCAAGGTCCTGTCCCCTCCTAAATAGAGGGAAACCAGGTACACACCTTGCGTGCGGCTGAGGAGGGGTGCTCCAAGTGGACCTCGCCTTCGCCACCCCTTCCTTGGCTGCCTGGCGATCGGGGACTGGCGGGTGGAGCCTGACCGGAGACTCTATAAGTGGCCACCACCCGTATTATGTGCGGGTTCGATTATCTCCGGACCATGGGCCCTCCCAGGTTATGAAACCGTTCGAGGGCCAGTCACACCTTCCCGCGGTAGGGCGCTTAACCGCCAGGACCAGAAGGCCGCCAAAAACGGGAGGCGGCCTTCGTCCAGGAACTGCGATCCGCGCCGCCCGTGCAACGTCCCAGGCACCCGTGGGACGCACGGGGCATGCTCAAACTGAAGGGTGTCCCTTGAACGCGAGGTAATGCCAATGCAAGCATGCATCGGTCCACACGTCAGCCTCCTCGCCGCGCGCGGTGTACTGGTGGTACGGAAGAATTGGCAGGCGCTATCGAGCTACCTGTGTGGCCGGGCAGTCGAGAGTACACAAGGAAAGCCGCTCGGCGGCGCTCCCAGTGCGATCTCGCCAGGAGGATCGCCTCTACGATCATACGTAGAGGCGAAAACGTGTTTAAGCGAATGAGGACTCGCCGCCGACCCCGAGACCATGAAGAGATCGCAATAATGTTGGTAGGTCCTCACGACAACGATCCTTTTGGGAGACCGGGTTTCCAATACGGCACGGAACAAGCTGAGACCAGATACGGTCCCCCAGTATGCCGAGACCCTCGAGCCGTACGCTGCTGTATCTGGGGATGTACAGTCCCTGTTTCCCCGCAGGGAAAAGGTTCACCCCTCCGACAATGAACCCACCGCCGCGCGGTGTGGCCCCAAACGGGTGGAAGAAGGTTGCCCCCTGTTTACGGAGGAGGAGTTGGAGGAGGCGATCGCCTGCCTCCGCCAGAAGAAGACGGCCCCAGGGACCGGACGGCATCCTGCGAGTGGTGGTGGCCATCGCCCGTTTCCCAGATGGGCTCCAGGTTTTCGGGACCTTTTCAGGGGGGAGCGTTTCTGGCGTCCAAAAGGTTGCCCCGAAGGGTATGGAAGGAGGGACATTTTGTGCCTTCTACGAAAGGAGGGTCGGCCAGTGGACTCCCCCTCGGCTTACCGACCCATCGTGTTAACTCGATGAGGTCGGTAAAATGTTTCGAGAGGATGCTGGCCACCCGACCTCAATGAACAGTCTGGGCACAATTTGGCCCGGGAGACCTGTCTCTGACGCTCAGTTTGGCATTTCACGCGGGCTGAGGCGATTTCGGACATTGGAAGGCACGCATCCCTGTCCCGTCACTGAGGGATCAGGTGAGCGAGGCGATGGAAGCCCTGGGAGGATGCGGGAGTAGGAGATATGGCCGTGTCCAGAGTTTTGACATTGCTAACGCTTTTAACTCCATCCCCCACTCCACCATCCTAGAGGCACTTCGCTATCATGGAGTGCCTTCATACTTGCGGGGTCCTCCTAAGCAACACATGTGGAGGACCGTTCGGTCCTCGTCGCAAATAGGGCGGGCGCGGACATGCGGCGGCTACAGCGTCGAGTCCGGTGTCCCACAGGGTTTATGTTTCTAAGGACCGCTCCTGTTGGAACATCAGATTCGAACGGCTCCTGCGAGGGGAAACCTCCACCGCAAGGCAACGTCCCTATCATCTGCTTTGGGCAGATGACACCCTCCTGACTGATCGGGCGGAGAAAATTTTTTTCGAGTCGGCGGACCGGCCTGCACTCGGCGGGAGGAGCCTTGGTAGCTGACAGGATCTCCCGCCTGGGGCTGACGGCTCATTGCGTTGTCAATGACAGAAGGCCGTCTTCTTCAATAGGTCTCGGCAACACGCAAACCAACCGCCCGACGCGCACTCACAATTGTGGGGGGCTTCCGCATCGGTAGAGCTACAGGCCCAGGATGAAATATTTGGGCCTGAATACTCGACAGTAGTGTGGCGCCTTCGGCCCCTCATTTTTAGCGGGCTGTCGACGCGCCTATTGAAGACCGCGGGGCCCTATCCTGGCTCCTCCCAAATCTTGGGGAGACCCGTGAATCGATGCCGGCGACTATATGCCGGCATACTTAGAAGCATGGCCCTTTACGGGGCCCCAATCTGGGCGACTCCCTCCATAGGAGGGAAAACGCAGCCGCTTCCGGAGGCCCCAAAGGGCTATTGGCGCAGAGGGTGGCGAAGGGCTTACCAGCACGGTAATCCTCGCGGCAGCGTGCGTTCTGGCGGGCACCCCTCCTTGGGAGCTGCGAGGCGTGGGTGCTCGCCAGAGTCTACGAATGGAGAGTGGAGCAGCTGGCGCTTGGGCCAGCGCCCCAGCGTCGCTGAGAGGGTTTGCCGTTCGATGAGGAGAGCGAGGGAACCGCGGTCGTCCAACACTGGACAGAGGACCTCGCCACCTCAACGTATTCGGTCGCAAGGACGCTGGACGCGATTGGGCCCGTCCCTCAAAAGACCTGGGCTCAGATCGGCTCACATGGCTCCCTCTCGTTTTCCGTCTGGTGCAGGTGCTGTCCCGGGCACGGCTGCTTCGGATCGTACCTGCACCGTGATCGGGAGAGAGGAGTCCCCGTCGTGCCACCAGTGTTGAGATGCGGAGGACACGGCAGAGCACACCATGGAGGTGTGCCCATCGTGGGCCGTGACCCCGTCGTGCACTGGTGTGCAGTGATTTGGCACGACCTCTCGCTCCCTCGTGTGGTCACCGCCATGCTGGGGAGTGAGGAGCTTTGGACTGCAGTTGCCTCCTTCTGCGAAGACGTAATGTCACAGAATGAGGCGGCGGAGCGAGGAGCGCGAGAGAGCTCCAGGAGCTCCGTCAGAAGAAGGAGGGGCGGAAGGCGGCGCACACAGCGTCACTTTCATCCGCCCCTGCGGACTGCGCAGAGATGTGCCAGTGCGCCTCCGGCCACAACAGAGCCCTCCCCCACGAGTGGTGCGTGAGGGGTCTTCCACAAGGCGGGGCAATACGCAGGCGGGGGGCTGGATGCAAACCGGATGTTATTCACCAACCCCCTGTCAGTTCGAGGCGAGGGTCGGAGCGCCATACTGTGTTGTTTTAGTGGGTATACCGGAATCCTTGTTACCGGGAAGTCCCACATCCCCATCCCAGTCTCCCGGACGGAGAGGGGATGCGCTAAAGCTTTTTCTATCCCAGGGCCAGTGCGCACAAAAAAAAGAAAAAAAAAAAGGTTATCAATTGCTCAGTTATAACAAAGAGGTAGAACCTACTCCCTCGAACGGGTTGTGGTCCTCGAATCTGATGCTCTCTTCAGTTGAACATGAAAAAATATTATACGTATTAAGGTTTGATTGAACTTCATTTTATTGTAAATGCAACTGAATATTTTTCGGATATACTACGCTACTTGATTTTTTTGAAAAAAAAAAAACTTACATACTTCCGGGGGGAACCCCCCGACGTTTCGGCTACCTTTCAAGCAACCGTACCATCACGGACAGGACGAGATGTGGCGTTTATTTGTTTATTTGTATAAATTGAGACTAGTAAACCCCGGCGAACTCCGTTTCGCCACCAGGCTTTGTTTTATGTAACATTTCGTTTGGTGATTAAAAAGATGACGAATTTCTTTTATTGTTTTATATTTGAAAACGAAAATTTTAATTTCGTTTCAACAACAGTAATGAATTCATTTTCGATTACAGAAAATGTAATGTTATTGAGTTGAACTTCTCTAAGTAAAAATAAAAGTGAATCAAAAGTAGATACCGAATCGAAGCGTTATACGTGTCCGCAAAAATTATCCGTTTCATTGAAGTGCTCCTTTGTAAAACCACATTTCTTGTTTTTTTGGTCTAACGTTTAACAACACACAAATAAAGCGGATGGTTTCCGAACTCCTGAATACGCAAAGTATAAACTGCCCATGTGAAAAACAATGATTTTCTAAATTTATCCCGCAAATACTAAATGGTTTTTAAGAGTTTGAACTACAAACACAATACTGAATAATACAACTGATTCACCGAGACGTACGAAATCTCAGCACACATCTCGTACATTTAATCTCCAGCTCCTTGTCCTGGTGTTGTTTGAGATGGTCCATGTAGAAGAGCACGTTGGCCGTCAGCTCACAGCCTTCAGCGTACACTGGAATCATCTGAAGACAGATATACGATGATTTTAATTTCTTCTACGTAGTATACTATTTGATGTGACCTCTTAAAATTAATATTGAAACTGAAATAAATGAATTCCTCCTTACGAAACGCATGTTTATTTAAGCCGTTTTTAAATTACTTTAAGAGTTTTTGAATAAAGAGCAAATATTTTTCTATAAAATTGTTATTAAGACATGAAAATTTTATTTTGATTTTATGTGACATGAAAATTTGGTTTATTTTGTTAAAACTAGGCACTATTTAAGCTTATTGAGCTATCGTGCCTCGCGCCTGAGCGGCAAATGTCATAATATATTATAATATAATCGCAAAACAGTATGAGTAATCACTAGTAGATACTCACAAGCTCTACTTCATCATCAGGTTTTGGTTCTTCCCTGACGGTGTTGGCTCGTGCTAGTTCCTCAGTTAAGTACGCGTTTGTGTGTTGTGTCACGAGGAGATGAGATAGAATGTCCGTGCCTGCAGTAATATTATATTAGAACAACAAAGTTTTTCATACAGAATTGCAAATATTTACGAACTGTATACAATTTTTGCGTCGTGAAAATAAAATCTGTTAATACTACATACTTGTTTAATTTAACGATGCCATCTGGGGATTAAAATATTAATATTTTATTAGTTACTATAGTCATTGGGTATTTGTATATTTTTATATTGATTTTATATATGCTGCTGGTCTAACAGTTACATAGTTAGTTATAAAATTTATAAAAGAAAATGAAAATATATTATATTGATTGATATCCTATAACCAGTGTAAACTGACTTATGTCTGTAGAGTATTCGCAGATGCAGTATAGCGTGGGAGCGGGTCTAGGAGCGGCCTCCAGTGAAAGTGAGCCGGCGCAATATCCACTGTGTCTCAACATCGCTCGGTAACATGATGTAGCATATGGACACTTGCTGCGCGACGTGCGACCGCTGTATATTGAGAATATTAAAATTATACTTTTGTATGTATTAAAACATTGGGTATATTATTTATCTAATCTTTCTTCATTAGAAAATATAGAAATATTAAAAAGATGATATCACAATATAATAAGGGCTACTAAAATAAACATTTTTTTTGTAAAAGTTAATGAGTGTTTTCAAAACGATAAAGGAAAAACTACGTCTCTTTACTGACATTCAAAAAATCTGATTGTATTCAATGTTTGCAGCGTCGTTTTATCAAGTGGTTATACTAACAAGAAGTGTTTGTCACTGTCAAGCGTCGTGTCACACACTCGCGACACAGAAGACCCTCTTGTATGACCAACGTGACACCTTCATACGTGTCGCTGATGGCGTGACACGCGACGTCCTTGATGGGAGGGCGGGCTTTGTTTTGAAAATAATATATTATTATATAATTGCAGTTTGTTAATTGTAGATAAATAAGTAGCATATACAAGTAGCAGTAGAGTTATATGACCTACATACCTTGGGCAGGTTAATCAAGTGCTCAGTAGAACACAGAGGTAGAACCTCCTCGAACGGGTTGTGGTCTCGAATCTGATGCTCTTTCAGTTGACCTGAAAAATATTATACGTATTAATGTGTGTATTGAACTCATTTTATTGTAAATGAAACTAATATTTTTCGGATATACTACGCTACTTGATTTTTGATAAAAAAAAACTACATACTCCCGACGTTTCGGCTACCTCTCAGCAACCGTC